AGCTCCTACGATCTGATGAACACTGAATGCTGGTTAACCCTGCGGGTGACAAGCATCTAATTCTTCTTACAATAATTATGACTGCTGAATCAAACATTACAGTACTGAGAATAAAGCAAATGATCACCAACTGCAGAAGCTACTGATCGTTCAACAAACTCTCCTAGTCAGTACCGTACTGGTGAACAGTGTGGAGAATTTGCTTACTGATATTGTAAGGACAAGATATCTGTTAATCTCTTCTAAAAGTCCATTGACTAAGATTATAAACAAGACTTTCACTACATGGGCTGCTTTCTGTAACAAAATTCCAAATTTTTTTTACTAGAAGAACAGCTCGTACTGAGTGACTATTTTGCTTTCTGTGCATTTTGCATGACTGTTTACAATAAGCATGCAACAAGACTTTGGAATCAACATAAACATAGACATTGATAGGAACAGCAAACAATCCCATGAGTGAGATTAATTCAGACAAAAGACAGAGTCACCAAGGAAACTAAAGATAAATTGCGATAAATAATTGTGCTTAGAATTGGTGGACCCTTGAACTCCAAGAAGTGATGAACATGTAACATCTCCCAATAATATTCAATAATATCCAGCAAACAGATAAAGAGAATACTCAAAACTTATCAAGTAGAATTTGTTATTGTGATCTAACACCAAATTCTTGTAACTAATTTACAAGGAAATGTGTAGCAGCTAGAGGAGAGAATTAGCAATCAGATCTTAGGATTAATAATAAAGGGTTAAAAGCTAAAAATGCCAGGCTGACACAATGCAGCTATGTGCTAATGCCAAAAGATGCATGACACACTAAAATACTAGGTCAATCTCCAATATGCCAGAGCATAATATAAACTTTTCACTCGCTGATCCACAAATTAAAGGTGATATTCTCAAAGTTTGACAATAAAATAAACATGTACATGCTGTACTTCAATTAAGCCTCTCAAGTTTAATTAAAGAAACTGCTAAAATTAATACATATTTTTTAGGGTTCTTGGAATTGATAATAATTGGGAAACAGAAAGTAAAGTTTCAACACTTTGTCTTCACTGACGTTAACTACAACTTCTTGTGCCAACTAACCTCTCTAAATGATGCTAAGTGACTGACTTGGGGATTTGTGATTGAAAATGTTACTTACCGGTGCCCAGGCCATCTTATCAAGTTGGAAGAAAAGTGCATGTAAGGAAAGGAGACAGTGACAGTGTTAGAAAAGTCAATTGTCTAGCTTTTGACTACATTCTCACTGAGCTAAATTCTACATAACACTTTGTCTTAATTTGAACTGTTTAACAAAATTTTATTTAGGTTGTCTATGATGATGAGTTTCATGTTTTCTGGCTACTCTGTTCATACAATTGGACAATTTCTTTGGTTCCTTTGGCATGGCAATTCCACAATAATGTACATATAGCTTACTCATCAGCTTTCTGACAACCCTGTCAAATCATTTTCAGTTCCACTTCATATTATGTGGCTACCAAGAAGTCCTCCAGTACATGGAGAATCTTAGAAGAATAGGTCCCCTCTACTAACTATGATGTATGCAACTGAGATCAAGTGGATGGGTGGTGCACACTGCCTCTTTTTGCAATTTGAGCATAATGAAGACCAAACAAGACTGAATAATTATGAAGAATAACTTATACATGAGGTATCAAGTGGAACGATAGGTGCATACTGTCCCTTGCACTAAAAACAAAACAAAGATGTACAGCCCAAAGAAAACTTGAATGAAACTACAGCAATGGATGAGTGTATCTAGAAATTTTTTACTCAGTCTCTCCCCCTCACCCAGAACCCCTCCAGAGACAGTGACATTTTACTACTAAGCCAGGGGAAAGGACACGGCCTTTCATCCCATGCTCCCCATATCCCAATTGCTAATATCCAACAGAAATTATCACAGAAACCTCTTTTATCTGCTCTCTTCAGAAATTAATGATTTTCCGCTTTAAAAATCATGATATATGCCCATGGGAGGAAATCACTGCTTAATGGTCACAAATGATTTCTACCAATTTAACTTCAGTGTTGTGTAGTTCCAAATGATATCAACACTCATACAGCAGAAGAGACCCCACTAGCCTGCAAACACTCTGGCCCTGACGTGTTATCAGCACTGTGGCCAAGCATTTCTTCAACCATGGGCAAGTTTAAGGCCTTGAGCAAGGCAAGCCATCTACTTGACAAATCGACAGTGGTTTAGTGTGTTCTGTACACTTATCAACAATGATATTTGTCATCACAGAAGTCAAAATGTTGTGGANAGTACAGTGGTTTAGTGTGTTCTGTACACTTATCAACAATGATATTTGTCAACACAGAAGTCAAAATGTTGTGGCTGCACGAGGCTGTCAACAAATTTTGATCACTGTGAAAATGATTATCGTTGTAGATAAGAGTACAGACCACACTTAACTACTATCAATTAATTTGTTTTAACCATAATATCAATGTCAAATAAATTGATTCTATCAGTCCGTGACTCGATCACTGCGTGTGCAGCACTGTATTTACTCTTATGGACAGTGGCAAGTTGGCCAATGCCATTGGGATACTTGGACAGTGACAAATTGGCCAATGCCATTGGGACACTAACAATCATTGCTAGATCCCTTGAAGACCTCTCACTAGCTCACATTGCTCATTAAGACCTCATATTGCCCCACTGGCAAAGTCAGGCAGAAGCACCTGTAAATTGATGGTGATCTGCTTGCGGGCTAAGTCCTTGCCATTCTGAAAATTTCAGTTTTGTTTTTCAAATGGTTTCCTTCAGAAGTTGTGCATGTTGAGAGCACCATTATATTCCCCCTTGAGTTTGCTAGGAGATGACCCTCCCTGGGGTGGATGTGAAAAGGTCCTACAACTGCTTATTTTAATGCCATCCACCTAATATAGCTAGCTAAACTATTCTGACTTGAAAAGCAAGTTAAGTAATATTGAAATAGTTTTGAAAAACAGAAGAAAAAACATTTCATGAATGTTCCAAAATGATCAACAAGTTAGGAAATTTCCTAGGCAGAAAGATAACTGATAATACCATGAGCTGGAATTAGTGATTATAACAAAAGGGCAAACACAGCAAAATTAAATTGAGTAGAATGAAAGAATTTGTAAATGGCAGTTAAACATTTAAGTGCCCCTGACAAATAGTGAAAACACTCAAGGGCAAATAGGATTGAAAAAATTCTAGAATAGGATGTGCAGTTCATGAAATGCTTTAACTTACATCTCTATCTGGTGAAAAAGTTATTAAGTTACTTTCAAGTGATGAGCACAATTTATACCAATTAAAATGACACCTTTTGAAGACCAATTTTAATTTCAATCAAGTTAATCTGCTACAAGCAAGAGAAAGAGAGTGGAAAGCCAAGCTGAGTAAAGGTGAAAGAATTTGCTCAATATGTAGATAGTAAAATGGCTTAATATCTAAATATTACTAATATTTAAATATTACTTGCTCAAAATGTAGATAGTAGAATGGCTTATTTAAATGCTGTGAGGAAGTGTTAGTCAAAAAATTGCTAAAAAGACCCTACCACAAATTTTTAATTTGGACAAATAATATTACCATTACCCTTGCGAAATGGTTTCCTAGCTTTCTAGGATTCCTAGGAATTTCCTAGGAATTTCTTAGGAGTCAGTGGAATTTTCCTAAAAACATTTAAGCTCTCTAGAGGTGTGAACAAACATTACTAGGTTCCTAAGAATTTCCTAGGAAATTCCTAGGAATGATTACAGGTAGAATTTACATAAAAAAATAGATTCTTGATCCTTGGGAAATTCTTAGGAATTTACTAGGAAAAATTATTTTTTAAAATAAAACCTTAATTTTTAAGAATTATACTTGTGAGTTTAGCTTTTGAAAGAAAAGTGCCATTTTAGATGTTTCAAAAAGTCACTACTTGCAATATACCACAAATTTTTTTTATTTTGCATTATAATTTACAACTCATTAATTTTAAAGCAGATATTCTTGAAGTTTATACAATTTCCAATAAAACATTAGTTTTTTATCCTTCAATTGCATATCACAATACATTGAAATAAAAATTTACTGTAGTAAAGAATACAAGCAGAAAACTAAATCAAATGCAATTCAAGTGGGATTTCAATCCATGTGTTTGGTGCTCCAGTCAGATAATAAAAAATGCTATACTGCAAGGACAGCGACTCTGACCACACTGAAATACAAAGTTATATCAGCCTGAGGCATCCCTGAAAAATGGTTTATCACAATGTGTAAGATTCAGCCAACATAATTTTGCACTGTCTCCTGATTTATTCCAATTATATGGTGAATTCTACATACTTTCCATTTAAAGTAAACTTAAGTTCAATATAGATAGTATCAAGTATCAATTTATTTGCCAGATTAGAATATTTTATACAAAAAGCTTAAGAACATATCTTTACTTAAATATTATAACAAGGAAGTCTTATTTGAAGCGATGGGAAATTTCAAATCTGGCATATTGAGACTTAAAAAGTGATATTTTCTTATATCTAACCACAGACAGCATTAAAGTTTGGAAATCTTATTATAACATGGTTTCTGGAATTGCCATTTAGAAGCATAATCTTCTCCAAAATTTCAGTGACACTCTTTGCTTTCAGGTCAGACCTAAAACATTGAGAATAAGAAATATCAATGCGATGCTTCTTTTCAAAAAGTGCTAGAGGAATAAAAGAATAGTTGTAGGTTCAGAAGGAACAGTTGAGGAAGAGAGGATTTTGAAACTAATTTCTTAAGCTTAATTGCCATTTTTATAAAAGAATTGCTTATCAATTCTATAGTTTTTTTCGTACTGGTTTTGAAACTTACAAGCATCATTGAAGCTTGAAGTGCATTGAGACATTGTGAAATGCGCTATATAAGCTTAAGCATTACATTACATTTTCTTACCCGGTCCAACGTAACGATGCACAGAGCGCATGTGATTTTCCATTGTCTGTTGTCGTGAGAGAACACGTTTACAAGCCGTACATTCATACTTCTCTTGGCCGTTAAGTTTGACTAATTTGTAAATTTGATGTTCATTCCCATCCATGGTTCATACTAGCAGGCGTTAACACTAACTTTAAAAGTCATTTATCGCTACTTCGATCACCGTTCATAAGATGGCGACCATGGCGCTGAATGGATCACACGATCACTANCGGCGCAGTCAGCGGTCTGGCATGCACCTGTATTCCTTTTGTTCTTGGTCCACGGGGCGTTGTTCAGTTTTGTTAGTGTTTTAGTCAGTGTTTTTCTGAGCGTTAGCATTTTTCCCTGTTTTTCTCCTTCTGTGTGGGGGCTCATGGCTGGGTCGCCTGGATTTGCCATCCATGGGAGCAGTCTTCATCTAGGAGCTGGCTGCCAATAGTGGAAGCTCCTGGATGTCTCAGGCACCCTACCTCCACTTTGTGGGGCAGTTGTTAAAGTGTCTATATTCTATTTTTCCTATTTTCCTAAGAAATTCCAAGGAGTTTCCTAGGAATTTCCTTGGGGACCTAATCTTGGTCAGACAAAAGTGAAATGTGTATCCTAAGAAATTCCTAGGAATTTCCTAGGATTTTTTTTGGATTTTAATTTTTTCACTCCTAGGAATTTCCTAGGAAATTTCTAGGAATTCTTTGAATTCTTCGTCCCAATTTACTGTGAAATTTCACACCTTATTCCTAGGAATTTCCTAGATCTTTTCGCAAGGGAACACAGCTGCCTTGAGTTTCTAATAGTGGATGTACAATATGTTTAATTTGGCTTTAAACATGCAGGCTCGTTAGATTTGCAGGCCAGAAATTTGTCACAACTACCAATTGTCAAATAACAGGATCCCAAATTTCAAATCTAATTCAGAGCTCAGAATTAAATAATAAAAAAAAACTTTTGAAGCTTCTGAAAGTTAGGAGACAAAAACTAAAGAGCTTATTGAGAATTTTTTATTGAAATTGAGTTTTTGCTATGAATCATGAAGAGGAAAGATATTTCACAGACCACATACCGCTGCAAGATCAAGTACTAACTTTTCATATTAAAGGAGACAGACAGATTACTTATAATAACCTGTTCTTAAAAACTTTATATTGAAACCCAGAAGTATCTTAGCCAATTGATGGTACATTTCATAAAAGGAGAAACTGTTTATTTGCTTCTTCTTGTTAATCCTGTTGTGACTAGCAGTTTGTGTGAGTGTTTTACTAAAAAAGAGCATTTTTAGAAAATTCTCACTCTCTTAGAAAATTCATTCCCCATTTTGTGTTTCACTCAACTGTCTGACTACCATAACATAGACATTGTGGTCTACTGCTAAGTAATGGGAGAGAATTTCACACAGCATAGGCACATGACCTAACAGCTACATTAACCTTCCTACATGTAAATGCTACTGTAACGGTATAAAATGTTAATAATAAAAAATTATAAAATCAATAATTAGATTTAATAAAAAAATATTTCAAGTCAAAATCATTTCAAATAACTAGTGCTTTGATTTGTGTTCTCCTTAGTTCTACAGATAAAAATATGCCCCTACTAAGGGAGTTGCTTCAACTGAAATCCTCTTAAATTTGTCAAGAGTAGAGAATAGGATTGTGGAGGTTCAATAGTTTTCACCTAAAGTAAAAAAAAAGTAACTGATCAAAGAGACAAAAATAATGTTATTAAGTGATGTTGCAGTCCATCTATATGCTCAAGAAAATCCTGTCATCCTATTTAAGGCAAACTCTGCAACACTTTATTTTGAAATTCAATTGAATGTCTGAACTGTGAGTGGCATTTCAATGAGCCATGAAAGTACATCATATTATATATATCCATCCATATCAAGTTATAGTATATTTGATTATTTGAGCATTATTATTGAAGATGATTTGATACAGTGTAGTCTGATCATGCAGGTGAATATATTCCTGAGAAGGACTCTGATGATCAGATGACCTTCTGCTAAGATTGTCAAAATGTCAGTCGGCCTGACTGCCTACAACTGTGCTTCTCAAGTCTACCCTCACCTTAACAATCAGAATACACAATCTAATATTTCCCCTACAATCAGCATTCAAATTAGTTCACACATCTTGTTTGTGAAGAGCAACAGTCCTGTTTCCATCGCACTCTAAACAAGTAACACACCCCCTCTCCCCTCCATTCAATGTTAGCCAAATGTTCATGGAATATCACGATACAACATTGCT